CTGTTCTTATTCACTACTTCTCTTGATTGCTTCTGTTCCTCCTTTCCAAATCTGTCCAATCTTACGTTGTACATTACCGTTGTCATGCCTTCGATCTTTTTGTCTATTCCTCCTGCCAGTGATACGTTTAGGATTGTATTTACATCATTGTTAAACCTCTTCCATTCTTCCTTATTTCTGTTAGCTGGCCACTTGATCTTATCTTTCCTCTCTGATTCAACATGTGGCTCCTTGGCTCACGTGTCTGCTCCTCTGGTGTAACCCCTTCTCCTTGGCTGCCCCCTCGTTGACTGGCGCTTGGACGCTGTGGTTAGATTCCTGGACCACCTTCTCCTCCGTCTCACCAGGTTGCCCTGTGCGTTGCGTCAGTCGCTGAATAGGAGCTCATCCCATTTTTCCCGTGTGTATTTTCAGCCCCATCTCATTCTTTAAGTCTTTCCACAACTACATCTGCTCAAATTCAAACTCTCTGTATATCAATGTTTGGGATGTAAACGTTTCTTGTTGATGAATATAGTTTTGAAAGTCTCTTTTTTCTAACTTTTATAACTGCTTAGAACTCTCAAGTTTCTTACGGTAGGTTAATGTTTGGAATCTTTCATTACTGTTAGGAACGTCGTGTAATTCTTACTGTACAAAACTGTATGGGCCGTCTCACGTTTTCTATTATACATAACTATTTTTGACGTCTCACGATTTCTCATGTACATATTTGCTTGGAACGTCACATCTTTCTTTCTGTAGATTACTATTTGGATCGTCATACATTTCTTACTGTACAAAATTTTTCTGAATGTCTCATTTTCTACAATAAATTATATCTAGTTTAAGCTTCTCATGTTTCTACTGTGTATTACTGCTTAGATCGCCTCAAGTTTCTTACGGCTCGTTATGTTACGTTACTGTTTGGAAGTCTTTGTTTTTTTTGTTCTTGTTTTTTTTTTTGGGGGGGGGGGGGGGGGGCAGTTTGGGACCTCGGCATTTCACTATTTAATTTGGACGTCTCCCGTTTCCTATTTTACATCACTGTTTGGAACATCTCATGTTCCTATATATGTTACATTACTGTTTATAGGACATTGTTAAGTGTTTCTTACTGTACAAACTTGTTGATGTACATGTATCTGGTTTCCTACTGAACAATACAATTTAAAACATTTCACGTTTTGCACTGTACATTATATCTGTCTGGGGCGTTTCAAGGCGTCTGGCTGTATATTTCTACATATAAAATAGTCTCAAGTTTCGTACGGTTCATGTTGGAACGTTACTGTTTGGAACGTTTTATCTTTCTCACGATACATAATTGTTTGAGACGTCTCAGGTTTCGTACTGTTTAGAACATATTGATTTTCTTATTGTATCTAACTGTTTGGAAAGTCTCAGTTTTCGTATATTACTGAATGGAACATTTTACATTTCTCACTGTGTTGCCCGCGTGGCGCAGTGGTTGGAGCTTCTGCTCTAGAGTCGCCATGTAAAGAGTTGATTCTTACGTCGCGGGTATACGAATCCCACTGTGGGACGTGGAGAGCAGTTCTTCGGATGAGATTGTATAATCTAAGGCCCCATATCGCAGTAGGTGTTGGTACAAAAAAGATCTCGCACTGCTTGTAAGTGCTTAATATAGGACAGAATCTGCAGCTAGCCATCGGCAAGTGGTGACGTCTCCATATGAGTGAAAAATTCTCGAGAGGGGCGTTTTAAACAATAAACAAATAAAACAAACATTTCTCACTATACATAACTGTTTGTAACGTCTCGTGTTTTCTGTACATGGCTGTATTGGATGTCTCACGTTTCTTACTGTATATGACTGTTTGGAAGGCACATCTCCTGTACGTACATTACTGTTTGAGACGTCCTATGTTTCTCACTATATGTAACTGTTTGGGACGTCTCATGTTTTTTGTCTGAAACATCTCACGTTTATTGCTGTACAATACGGCTCAGAACGTATTTACGTTTCATACTGTACATTTCTGTCGTCTCACATTTTCGAACGTACAATACTCTCTTGAAAAATCTCATGTTTCTTACTGTACATTACTGTTGTCTCACAATTCACTTTTTTTACTGTTCTGTAAAAGTGAGATTTATCGCGTTCCTTATTGCACATCACTACTTAACTCGGACGTTTCTTTTTTATCCTAACGGTTCCCATGGCTACTTTCTGAAACGTCTGATTTCTTATTGTAGTTACTTTTTAGTACCTCTCATGTTACGCTCTTTACAATACTATACTGATTAGAATGTCTATACATTTCTAACTGTATTCCACTGTTTGGAACGTTTCATGTTTTTACTGGACAATATTGTTTTGTACGTCCAATGTTTTTATTGCCGTATACTAATGTCCAAAACTGTCTGTAACGGGTCATATTTCTTGCTGTGTCTTATTTTCCTTACAGCAAATCAAAATGCATACACATACATGTGTATGGGACGTCTCATTTCCCTTACTAAAACTTCATCATTTCATGAGAAATTTCACGTTTCTTGATACCAAAATAAGCATATATATATATATATATATATATTGGTAATCTTTCTTTAATCTTTGCAAATCAAAATAAACTTGATTGGTAGTCTCGTAATCCTTCCGTATGAGATGTCTCGCGTTCATCCTCAGCTAAATCAATCGCAGTATAGCCGTCTTCTTAAAATTAGAAACTAAAAATTCAGTTCCTGAAAATTACCATATTAGATATATACTACCAAAAGTGCGGGTAATTCTTACCCTGGCATCTAGATTAATTATCGTGTGGTAACTTTTAAATGAACACGTGCATGTAGACTTACTTCAGTCTCTATATTAGATTTAGATTTGTTTCTGTTTATGAAGTATGTCCCCTCTGTTACTTTTGAAATTGTGAAAATATAGCTTTCTATCCATGAAAATTTCTCCATCGGGTTCCAAGGTCCTAAGTCGTTTTTTTATGCGCCCGTATTGATAGATCCAAGGCGTCTATTGTTTTTGTCCTGTCTGTTGTCAACTTTAACCTTCGCCATAACTTTTGAACCATCAGAGATAGAGACTTCATTTTTGGCATGCATACTCCACTAATTAAGTTCTTTCAAATGACACCAAGATCAATGACCTGTGACCTTGATTGTGACCTTTATGCTAAAAAAAAGCTTTTGAACTTTCGCCATATTTTTTGAACCATAAGAGATAGAAACTTCATATTTGCTATACATACTCCACTATAGTCCGAAATATCTGACTTTTTCCAGGCTTTTTTACGATTTTGATATTTTACGTGCCAGGAAAACGTCAGAACCGGCGCAAAATTTCCAGCTTTCGTAATGGCGCCGGTTCTGACGTTTTCCTGGCATGTAAAATATCAAAATCGTCAAAAAGCCTGGAAAACGTCAGATATTTCGGATTAACTCCACTAATGAACTTCTTTCAAATGACACCAAGGTCAATGACCTTGTGACCTTGACTGTGACCTATATGACAAAAATAGTTGTTTGGAACTTTGTTGTCGCCGTGTGCATAGTGTTTCACATGACAAACACATCTTGTTTTGAGAGTTGTTTTGTTTTTAAAGTTATTATAATCATAGCTTTGCCCCCAAATAGTCAAGAATTGTTTTTATATGAAGAAAAAAATCAATAGAAAATTATTCCGATTTCATTAATCCAAAATCAGCAACTCATTTGTATTGGTGGCATTATCCTGCACTTTTATTGCAGAATTTTTAGTGTGACGTTTACGTTTTTTTTATTTTTTGGGAAGTTGCGACGGCATCATGTCACAATAAATCAATTTACTAATCAGAATCGGCAACATTTCGGAAATCTCTCCGTATAGCAACAAATAGGTAATTTAAATATTTTCAACAGGAATGTTTTAATTATAAATGACCATTGATATTCTTCGTTAAAATTTCATAAAAGTTAAATTATTACGTTAATTTATTTTATTGTCTAATTTATTTCATTTATTTTATTGTCTATTTTACTGTCTACAAAGGGTACCTATCATTCTCCCCCAAGAAAATTGATCAAAGATTATGATGAACACTAAAGAATTGATGTTGCTTACTTAAAAAAAAACAACATACAAATACAGTATCTGAATACTGTGAATCACTTTTTATTCGCGAGAACTTTATTTTTGCGTAATTACGCGAGACAGTGTGCTCGCAAAAATTTAATTCTCGCGTATAATAGTATTCCTTATGAATATATAGAGCAATAACCACAATTCACGAAAATTTTGTCTCGCTAATCAGGAGTCAATGACTACCTAGCGAAAATAAGGTGTCGCGAAAATTTAGTGATCTACAGTATATAACTCAGCAATGTTATGGTTACCAAGTTACTCAATTTTAAATCAAACGGCAGATGAAATGACAAATCATTGAAAACTTAAATTTTCTAGTTACAATGTACAGAAAGCATCCTTAAGGAGGCTGGAGGGTCAACAAATTAATCCCAAATTAACCACCAGATTTAACTTATTTTTTTAGATACGGTATCTTTAGCTGTGAACTATCATTTGACAAAGAAAAAATTCAAAAATTTTAGTTTTAAAATTTGATCAATATATCTTTATATGGAGAGATTGAAATGGTAAAAAAGATGAGAATTTTCCCATCAAATATCATATGAAGAGATGTAAAGATGAGAGTCATATTAAATGATCAGTAGATATCTATTAACTGGATTATCTGTTCCATCATCACGTTTGATGTGTGTGTGGGTGTGTACTTCTATCTTATCTGAGGAGCCCCGTGGCATGACTATGACACCAGGACATATTACTGTACTTCTCATCATGATAGCTTCCCTGTGTTTATTTCTTTCTTTTAACAATAGTGAAAAATAATAATACAAAGCACACTTCTGGGTATGTTCTGTTGTGGGTTTAACTAGCTATTCATGATATATTTTTATCCCATTTTCGTACTATACCTTTGTATAACAATAAACTTCTGCAAATTATCCCCCCACCCTTAAAAAAAATCAACAATAAATGAACATGAACCTTGAAAATTTCATCCTTTTATTTAAAACAATGTTAATACCATTAATCAGAGTCTGATAATTCAAAGTTCTGAACAATATCTTCTTTTTCATCAATATCATCTTGTTCATCACTTTGGGATCCATCATCTTCCTCTTCATCACCCTCATCTTCATCACCAATGTCATCATCATCATCATCAACTTCAGCATCTTCTTCACTATCTCGATCAGATTCTTCATCCCCTGATCTGGCTAGTATTTCAAGTTCATCACTGTCAAAATCACTGAAGATAAAACACAAATTAGTATTTACTTACATGTATTAGAAAATAAAACATTATCTGGGTAGAAAAGCTGCATAATATCCAGACACCAATGCATATAAAGTGATAATAAAGTTTATTTATATTATATAAAATTTAATCTGTTTTGTTTATTTTGGTCCAAGAACTCATACAATTTAATTTTCTAAGTTAATGTGACAGACAAAGTTAGACATGCAGGAGGCATATTTTATAACTAAATATCAATATTTACATACTACATTGTATAAAGCAGACTATGTTGTGAAACCCAGACCACTTAATACAATGGATTTCTCTTGTGCCTATCAACTTGCACCATCAAGAAGAGAGAAAACCATGTAATAAAAATGTTTATTTTAAGGAATTGGTCATCTCCATACCTATAGTCTTGGCTCTCATCAGAACTGTCTCCATGACTTGTCTTTTGTTTTTTAGCAGGTCTTTCGTTTTTGGGAAGGAACCTAAAAAGATTTTAACAAAGTAACCATGGCTTTCTGATATTTAAATAACTCTGCAAAGCTTCAAAATTTCAAGGTTTCACTGTTTAAATTTCAAGGTTTAAACTGTTACCAAACCAGAAGTCTCTGTCAAGACTGTAGCTCTACTGGTTTGTACTTATAATAAAGGAAGAGGAAAGTAGCAGTTGGGACTTAAAACTTTACAAAAGCAATAAATAGAATAATGATCCTTAAGTCTCTTTTTGTGGCAAGACTGCAATAAGACTACAACTGTAGGAGTAGCTTTTAAAAAATTTTTATAGAATTTTCAATGAAAATTACTATAAACACAAAACTGATAATTACGTATCTTAATGTAGTCTACTTGCATGCCAAATTATATTATAATCAGACACAAAATGTAGGAGGAGTAGCATTTTGAATGTTTTTTACAAAAATTTCTATTTTAGTAACCAAGACAACACCGTTTATTGAAATCAAAAACCAATAAACTGAATTATGTATCATAGTGTAGTCTACTTGTGTGCCAAGTTATATTGAAATCAGACTCAAACTGTAGGAGGATTAGCATTTTGAATGTTTTTCACAGATATTTCTATTATAAGTAACTATGGCAACACAATTCATCAAAATCAAAAACCGATATACAGAATTATGTACAATAGTGTAGTCTACTTGTGTGCCAAGTTATACTTAAATCAGACCAAACTGTTGGAAGAGTAGCAATTTGAATGTTTTTCACAGAAATTTCTATTTTTAGTAACCACGGCAACACCGTTCATCGAAATCAAAAACCGAAAAACGGAATCATGTATCTTAGTGTAGTCTACTTGTATGCCAAGTTATATTGAAATCAGACCAAAACTGTAGGAGGAGTAGCATTTTGAAAAATTGTTTACAGACAGACGGACAGCTAGACGGACAGATGACGAATGCATTACTATCGCATAAGCTCTTCTGGTCTCTGACCAGTAGAGCTAAAAACCCAAAGAGAATAAAATGTTTGCTCTTTTGTGCTTGCTGTAAGTACAAACATACGCACACACAAATCTTACAGTACTATGATATTACGAAAAGTTCATCAAACATCATATTGGGAAGTAATGACATTTATGATTTGTGTAAGTAGTAAATGTTATGGCCTTTATTAGTTGCTCCTGCTTTGCCAGCTAGGAGGCATCAGAATTTAATATTTGTCTCATCTATATGCCTACTAGTACCTCCCCGACCTAGGCATAGTTCTCAGTTTGTAATAACTTGGAAATATTGAAAAAATTAATAATAATCATCATAGACTAGGACAGGGTTTAAAATGCAGGAGATGGAACCCCAGGCAGGCAAGTTCAGAAAAGTAGTGCTTGGAGGTTTTGATGGCATTTTATAATATACACTTTGTTGATTATATATCTCTTTGAATTCATATGGTGTAACTGAATCTCAATCCAACAATATTTCTCCAATTTACAATTTTTGTTTGAGTACTTTGTGATTACTGGAGAGGTTCATAAACCCTCTGCCCACCGAAATGAAATGTTGCTCTAACTATTATTATTTTTCAAAAGAAAAGTATTAATATTTTTAAAAGTAAAATACAAACAAATATAGCATAGCTTGCCGGGCAAAATTGAACCCAAAAAAAGCATTTCAATTTGTCAATTTTCTAAAGGAATAGTAGACATTGATGTCTTTAAGAGTTATCTCTCTTATCATAGTACTGATGAACCTTAATTTACCTGGTTTCATCATCAGTATCCGATTCCTCATCAAACAAGGCACTGAATTCCTTCTTGTCCTCCTCTGATGCCTTGGCTGGGCCTCTTTCTCTCTCTATCCGAGGCATCTCATCCATGCCAACTATCTGTGTATCAACAAAGTCAAGGCACTCATTAGAATAAACAATTTTACATATTTTTTATTTATTGTACTTTTATTTATAGCAGTGTTATATAAGCTGTGTACCAGGTCTTTCTGGGCTATCTGGTGCTGCAGTTCTCTGTCTCGTAGTTTCCTCCAGTTGCTGTAAAATTTGCCCAGCGGAGTTCCGGCCTCTTTGCATTCTCTCTCCCATGCTTCCTACAGAAAATAAACATCATCTAACTTTACATCTAAATGTACATATATGTACACAGCTAAATCTGCCTCATGTCCTATGCCTTGTGTGGCCTTTACAGGGAAAAAAAAGTTTCAAATGAAATTTATACAGAATTTTATGAAAAAATCCACACAAATTTTGCTTCTTTTCTGCATACAAAAATCATGTGGAAGAATTATACTGATTCTCTTTTTGTAGTGTTTTATTTTCACATGAACTTTAATTAGCAACAATTTCAGAAATATTCATTTAAGGCAATTTTTTACTGTCTATATGAAGTATCAGTAACAAATGTTAGAAAAAAAGTCACTTTTTTTGTCATTTACATTCATTTCCCCCTTTTCCCCTTCAATCTATTTAATGGCTATATCCTATATTTTTAGCTAAAACATTTAGCGGTACACATGACTGGACAATGTACATACCACGGCCTTTGTATCTGACAGCCTTATGTTAGTGGACTTTCTTCTGTTGGTTATAAATTTGATGTTCTCATCCACTTTTTCCACAATTTGCTTGATCTGCTTACAGTAGTTTGCAATCTTACATTTCTTCATGAAATCTCTCAGCTAGAAAAAAATAGACTCGAAGTACTTCTAATCGTATAATTGCACTTTTATAATTATTGAACATATAAATTAAAGTAAATCCAAATATACAGTGATTTACTAATTTTCTGCATATGATTAACCCATGCACTTTAATTATGCCCATATTTACATTTATAATGTATGTGTATACACTTTTGATTATGCATGTATAATGCACCTATTCTGTATATGTACACATGCACTCTTATGAAAATTGCCCGAAACTGTTCAAACACAAAGACAATATTTACCTTTAGCTAAAGTACACCTCATACTTAGCAGCTAATATAAAATCATAAAATGGGTTTCTCTGTACTTGTTAGTTAAATCACACTGACTTTCACTAGGTTGATTTAATCCCGCCTGTCTAACATGAAGAAGCGATTCGTACCTGAATTATCCCAGGGAGAGCCAGTTCTGGAAATCCAATAGAGCTGGCATGGATGTGCAGCTGATCCAATAGGATCTCGTATAACTGGTCAATCAGGCCATCCTACAATTAATCAGGGGTAATCTGAGTGTTTTTATTTTTTCCGCACTGTGTAAAAATTGATATTATATACACAGCTAATCTAAAACCTGATACATTCATCTATCACAGTGACAGAAGGGCAAACAAATACTTTATTTTCATCTAGTAACAGAAGCTCCATCACTTTCTTTTATCAATTATAATTTTATTTGGAGGGGGGGGGGTTTAAAGGTGTAGGAAATATAAAGTTTTTGTTTTATTTACCCTGAATGCTTTTTCTTGTAGCTGTGCCTTGGAGAATTTAAGCATACAAGCAAAGTTGAATGGTTTTAAGCTCACTGTCTTGTGTCTCTTATTAAAGTCAGTTTGTTCCAATACCTGCAATGAAAACAAAAATTCAGAGTTATCTTTCTTGTTACATGTAAGATCTCTTTAAACATCACACATTTTGGGGGGGAACTGTTATTTATACTCCTAACAAGATTAAACCAAAAAAGATTAAAGATCTTTTTACAGCTATATACTTTTGCAAAATTCAAAACTTTAAAAAATAATTATTTGATGCAATTTATTACACTATATATCGCCTGTATAGTCTAGAAAGAAGAATCCATTTCATTCAGTGATTACAAATTAATGAATGAAATTATCAATGTGTATAAAGTAAACTTGGCTATCGATCAAAGTTCCATAGAACTTCACAGAATAGAGAATTGAGACAAATATTTTGAAAATATAAACTGGAATGCACAGGTATGCACAATGTCTGCAATGAACCCATTTTATAGAACATTCCATTTAGCCATTTGGTAACTGCTAGATTTAAGATAAAAGCATGTTACATAAAAGATCATTTTTTTTAATTTTAATGAACCAAGTCATGAGTAGAATGAATTTATTCTTTTGATGTAATTTTTTTCTTATTGATAAAAAAAACATCAAAGACTTAAAACAACGACATCAAAAAGAACAGCTTGCATGAGAGGGGAAATTTAATTTTCTGTCATGTAGAAAACTGCAGACCTCTTTCATCTGTGAAAATCTTCCATTACCTTTACTACCCCAATGGAAAAATATCAATAGCCTATTATGACTATGCACCGTCACAACTTCCATTTACAGCTTACAACTGAGTGCATATATTTTTTCACAGATATTTCAAGTATGCCTCAATCTTACTAGTAATCTAACATATGCCGTGAATCATTTTGAAGTGAATCATCTCATGTATAAATAAACACTTTCAACCATGACATGGCACCTTGGAGAACCTGAGTCTTAATTTCATCTCACTGAGCATAAACAATTCAGTTTAGCATCAACTGGCAGAAAATTCAACCCAGATGGAAAAGCATGGGGCAGTTCACCTGATTTAAATGTGTGTCTGACACTGGGCATGTGGCCTGGTATTTGTGTCAGTGGGTCAGACGTTGCACCCAGTGGGTGAACTTATTCAGTGCCTTCTCGGTGAGGCACTTTGATAGATGATCAAATCGATTCAATTTCCTTCATGCATGTGAGGTCATGCAGATTGCGATAAACCCTGATAGTGATTACTTTTGCTTGCTGCTCTACAACAAAAGAATTGTAGGCCAAACCTGTTGTGTTTTATCTTAAAAAGCACAAGAAGTTCAGTTCTGTATATTCCCATATGTTTTCTTCCATTGCAATGCAGCTGTGTTTTAATTAACCAGAGCTTAGACATTAAAGTGTTTTGGAATGAAATCTCTTTGATAAAAAAAATTAGAAAGTTTGGTGATAAAAATCAAAGACTAGAGTCCAAAAAGAAAAAGATAAAAAATTGTGATGGGAAAACCAGAAAAAGAAAATAATTACAGGCTGCTTCAGTTGCAGAGGACACTCAGCATAACAATAAAATCCCTGAACTTGTTTTATGTCTTCCTACACAAAATTCATATTTTTCATTTGCATGTGGCATGAGAAAAAGAATTGTTGTAGTCCAAGAATAGCTTTCCAGTTCTATTTCCATGCTACAGATTGGCATTTGAAGTGCTACAATTGCTATGCTTGGATCATGAATGTTGTGAAAAAACTTAAATCAGAATTTGACAAGTGTGAAGGAAATAGCTGTAAAAGCTGTCAGGTTTTTTTCTGAAGTTAGTTCACATTTCCTGCATTTGATGCTTAAAAAAAGGCAGTCATGCATGTTTCAGGACGTTTTGGTAATATCAATTGTTGAGCAATCAAAGAAATTAGCAAACCAAGACTGAATGAACAATCTTTCATTGTATGAAATAAAATTGAATTAAAACAACCCTACTTTGCAAGAAGCATATTTTTTTTAAATAATGTAATTTTTTAAAGAGGTTAACTTGTTGAAATTTTATTCATCTTTAAGAAAATGTTTAATTATCAACATTGATAAACAGTGTACTTCTGGTGTTGTATATAATTTTTTACAATCACATGATGCTATGGTTTTATATACATGTATAAATCACTATGAGCATCCGTGTGGAATGAAATGGAAAACCATGAATTGTATCTACAATCCCACTCCTATAAATGACACATAAGTAGAAGTACAGAGTAAAGGTCAATTAAAGGGGATAAACCCTAATCCTCCATCACTTCATGTACTCAACAGAGCAGAAAGCACGCGGAATCCCATAATTTAGACATTATTATGTTTCATTCACAAAATTGTCCTAGCACTCTAGATGTTGTGGCATATTCCTGATGGTAATAAACCATTTACTCTAAAGCATGTACAGACTGCCTACCAGAGAAAGTCTATTTTCTTAAAGCTGCTTTAAAAAAAACCCAGAGTGATAAAATTATGAAATCTGATTCACAAGTACGTCTAGCACTTGCTACCTATTTTTCTGCAAAGTGAAGAGCAGACTTAATCAAGATTCCTGTACTTTTCTATAAAAAGTCTACAAAAATGAAAAAAAAAAGTGCCCGCTATCTGATTATGTTTATAAAGGTGTAAATCCTGATGACTCTGACAGTTCACAGTAGTACTGAGGACAACAGTCAATATAAACACTGTAGGCATGCAGTAGTACAAGTTAGTGAGCGGTCAGATCCTGGTTCTTATACACTAAAGTACAAAGTCTTGTAGGCCCCAGAAAGGAAGAAATATCATGTATAATAACAACTGTGATTTATGGCATAGGTTTATGTTATAGACCTGAAAATCTGCTTTGTAATTAATTAAAGTACATGTATGCCAAAACATTCACTGTGAAAAAAGCTTGATAAAAGCTAATGGAAATTCTTCATTAAATTATCAAGGCACACCAATTTGTCAAACTCTCAATCCTGCATTAATTAACAGTTAAAACATGGTCCACTGTGCACCAATTTGTCATATAAACAGTCAAGTTTAACATTATATAACAATCCAGCTTTGATTTATTTTGGTATCACACATTTCTTACATATTGTCAGTGCATTATTTTATGAAGTAATAAATAGATGCAGACCATTCCCCTTTTAAGCATGTCTCAATCTTTACCTATTCCTAAACTGAAGATAAGGAGTCTAAAATAGGAAAGGAAAGCTGATTTTAGATTCATCTATCAATCCCAATGTAAGATAAAAGCCGGGAAATCTTTGTTAATTAACTTGTAAATGATCCACCTGAGTTTACTTAAAGGTTGTCCTATGATGACCTTATATACATGTACTTTGACTTCTTATACCTCCATACAAAGAAGAGTTACATTAGTTCTAAGGGTAAATCATACAAGAAAGGGTGAATATATTACCTGGTAATATTTGAAATAAGTAAGGCAACTCAGAGGGTGCAATGATAAAATTTTCTTCTCTCAAAAATCTTTTGAAGGAACATTTTAAATACAAAAAAATCTTGAACGTACGTCTTTTGAAATTGATCCTTTAAGCTGCGTTAAGTGCAGGTATGACAGAAAGTTTTGTTTCAAGTGTGAAGTACAAGAAATAGTAACTTATCAAAGTGCAGACACTGATTTGTCTAGAAATATAACAATATTTCATCCTGTTTGATACCAGAATAAAATGGCCCACTGACATACATTAAAGAGAAAGAACCAAATTCAAGTTTGAGGTTCAAATAAAAAAATATGTTCACGGCCAACCTTTGTGTTAAGTCATAAAACATTGAGTACTGTCATATGTTGCACAGAGGAAATGACTTGTGTTGCTTGTAGGCATCCAGAATACAGACTAAAAACAGAGTCATTTCATGTCAATGGGTCATGATCACCTTATAAGTACCTTTCCTATTTGGTTTGATAAATTTTCAATAAAAACGTGATCTACCGGTAAATGAAAGGGCTCTGTGCATTAATATTGACATTTCGGTATACTGTGATTCGTTGACCAAACCAAATGTATTGCAATATGGTTTTCAGTGCTGGTATACCAGTAAAATGCTTGGGTTTTCTAAACTAAAATATGAATGATGTCAGAGACGTTTTCAATTGTACCAATTAAATATTAAAGTTATATACTGTTCTATGGTTGCATTTCTTTGCAAAACTATATGGTAAAACAACAAGATTTTTTTTGTTCAGACTTAAAACATTTTTAGAAATTCTGCTAATATATAGAGGTTAAAAAAATAAGAAAAGATAATTTTTTTAAAGTTATTTTAAAAACTGCAATACAATGTAGCTAATCTCACAGTACAGTTAAAAATATTTCCATATATTGCAATACAAAATTCTTTTGAGATGATATGTAGTCCTACTAAATGAAAAGGTTTAAATCTTAGAATCGTTACATTTCTTCATCAATTTCTTCTGATACACAGAAAATTGCTTGATTAATAAACATGAAAATATTTAATAATATTTTTTTCTAAAGAAGAGAGCAGAGTGCTTAACAAATACTAAAGCCTAAGGTTGCAATATACTTGAAGATGAAGTTGACCACAACATCATGAAGGACATATATTATATGTACATGTAGTCATTATCTTTGCGTCAAGCTCATTATATCTACTGTCATTATATCCCTTCGTGTTTCGCTGCAGAGCCACCATATATTACAAATTTTTCAGCCTGTGGAAATGGTATACTTTTTAACCATAACTTTGAAAGTCAGTCAAGGTTATAGCCTTTTTTTCTCTGGAGATTGCTAACAGGGAATTATAGACATTAAAAGATCAATATTTTCCAGTTCTGGTTACGAACTGTCTGTTTGTAAGGCTATCACATATTGTTATCAAACATATAAAGGTAGTAATGATGGTTTGCTTTGCTTTGAACTGCTGGCATTTTTTTATGGGAAAAAAAAAACACTCAAGTGGTGTGGGCCTGCATGTCCTGTTGTTACTGGTAAATGCCAATGCACCACTTGACTGTCTCCAAACAGAGAGAAATATGAGGAGTTTATATAAACTTTTTGGTCTATGATAAATTATGTGA